ATTATTTGTCTATTTGTTTTCCTGAGAAACTATCTTGTAGATAACAATATGTGAAACAATAACCATTGATAATTTCCTACCACTTTGTCTGTAATTTGGTAAGCGCCCCCCATTATTATGTTATCCTTTTACTCTTTAAAATAAAAAAAATTAAAAAAAATTCTATGTGTCATTACTACTCATCCACTCCAATCCCCCATTGCATCTGTTACTCCATTTCTCTCTGCACCAGTCCAACCAGGTGGTCATCCTGGGCACTATTATCTTCTCCAGAAAGGCTCCCCAACCCCACCCAACCCCATGCTGAACTGCATGGCCAAGACTTGGACATACTTCTCTCCCATCATTTACTGCAGATAATGACACACCCTTCCCAGACTGAGCTTCCTGAGGAGTCCCTTCATGCCCTCCGAAGAACCAGGAGACCTCCACTGTCCATTAAATGGAGTTAAACTCTGCCCCTTCACCTCCTCCTGAGGCAGTTCACTGCACCTGCCGACGATAGGTTTCAAATATTGTACTATGGGCCAGGATGTGGGTGAAGTCATCACTGGCTGAAAAACCCTAGCATGATTAATAAGGAGATAGTGATATGTGATCTTGTATTGTCTTCTAATTATTTCAGGTGTGTTAATCCTATAAAGTAATTATTGCAAGATTGAGACTTAATGAAGCTATTTTCAGAGAATACTGAGCTATATACTAAGAGAAATAATTATCTGGACAAAAATGTTCACCTTAATATTATTTCTAACAACAAAGCATTGAAAATTATTGAAATGTCCAATACCCAAATACATTTACAACCATATAATTGGAGTGTTGTAATAATACACAATGGTATAACCAAAGAAATACTCCTATTCAGACACTATGAAATTTTAAAGGAATCTCTACTAACATGCAAAAAGTATTTCTAAAATACTAACTAAACTAAAAGAAACAAGTTTCAAAATAGTAGAATGTAATAGGCTTTCATAAAAGAAAAATATATACATAAGATCGGGAAGGATTTATAACTTGTTAAAATAACATTTGTGGCAGGATTGTGATGGCATAATTCTCTTCATTTTTAAAAATTCTACCATAAATATATGTTGCTTTAGAGAAAAACATGAAATCCAAAACAGGGAAATGGTTCATAGCAACTGAGTGACAGGCTCTGGCTAACAATAGTTTTTTTTTTTGTTTGTTTGTTTGTTTTTTTTGTGGTTTTTCTCCGGTACCAGGAACCGAACTCACGACCTTGCGCTTGCCAGGCAGGCGCTTTTGCCGCTGAGCTAAATCCCCAGCCCCCTAATGATAGTTTTGAATCTCTGATCCAGCTAACTCCTACCTATCTGATCTAACTCACCCTACAGTCTTTGCCTCAAATCCCAAAATTCCAGGCACAATGAGCCCTACTTAAAGTTTTGAAATTCCCTAGACTTTCACATATTTATAAGTGCAGCTCTCTGGAGTATGTTTTTCTTATTCTCAGACTTTCCATGACCTACCGCCACTTCAAATTCAGGTCAGATACCACCACCTCCAAGAAGTCTTCACTGGCATCTTCCTTCTCCCCAGCCTTGGTTAAATGTCCATTCTAAGTGTTTTCACAGTTGACCTCTATCAAAGATCTTACTCACATTTTATTGCATTTGTTTTAATACTGAGATTGCAGATGCTTCAAAGCCATTGATTAAAACTTTTATCTTTGTATCTGCAGATCTTAGTAAGGTATCTGGGATAGAATCAATAACAAACATCTGAAGAAATGAAGGTTCATAGTAAGAACTAGATCAAAGGGCCCTGGGACAGA